CACTGAGATTTCATCGCACTCCTGAAAGAATGGCCAAGATCAAGAAAACCATCAACAACAAATGCTGGAGAGGCTGTGGAGAAAAAGGAACTCTCCTGAACTGTTGGTGGGTGTGTAGACTACTGCAACCATTGTGGAGTTTGGAGATTTCTGGAGATTTCTCAGAAATCTGGAGATTGCTCATGATATGCCATTCCTGAAATACATACCTCAAGTTGGAATAGGACATGTGAATTTAGTCAGTCTGGAGATTTCTCAGAAAACTAGGACTGGAAGCCCCAATATGACCCAGCTATACCACTTCTTGGCATATTCCCAGAACTGAAAGCATCATACCACAGTGATATATGTGCACCCATGTTTATAGCAGCACAATTTGTAATAGCCAGATGTTGGAAACAACCTAAATGTCCATCAACTGAAGAATGGATAAAAAGTTGTGGTATTTTTATACAATGGAGTATTACTCAGCTATAAAGAATGACCGCCTTGAGACATTTATAAATAAATGGATGCAGCTTGAGACCATACTCATAAGTGAAATAAATCAAACTCACATGTATAAATACTGAATAGTTTTCCTAGTGTAAGAAATGATAAGAATACATAGAAGTATGTGGTAATCATGATTCCCAATCATATTGGTTTGAAGCCATATAATGTTTTCACTCATTAACCGCAATGGTTTTAACCTGGGTTGTTTGATTTTAGTATCTATGATAGCACGAATAGCAATTTTGATGAAAGCAACAGAACATAAAAGCTAGTGCTGATTTAATATCGTCTTGTTTTAAAGTCCCATCTGTTTCCACTGGTTTTAACATGTTGTGTCTTACTATATTTCACTATATGCTATAGTATAAACAAAACTCTTTATAGGCAAAGAGATAATATAGAAACCATTGTTTGTTTTCTATTAGCAGGTTCTAAATACCCTATAATTCTTGCATTCTCTTGAAAGGCTTCACATTGCCTAGATATGCTTGATATTATAGCACGTGAAGTTACACTCAAATAATTTAAGGAAAGAGGCACTATGGTGACTACTATTATGTTAGATTATCTGGTTGTGAAACACAATGATGCTTGAATTGCTCGGTTCTGCCCTGCATTGTTCTATTACAATATCCTCTCTCATCTCAGTCTCCCCCCTATTTTTAAATTAATCTGTTTTCTCTCATTTTTTTAATTAAGGGAAAACTAAATTATGAATAATGGGACATATTATAGTAACTTTTTTGTTGTCCTATTAACCTGACTTGAACCCCAGTATTGCTCTCCCCATCTTGTTCTGTCTGATTATTATATAATCTATTTTGTTTGATAGTATCAAGTTTGAGGGTATAGGCAAGCACTTTGAAGGCAATAAGATATACTATGATGCCCCATATGGATTGACTATCATCCTTTTTTTTTGAAGTCCTGTAAGGTCCTCAGTGTAGATTTTATTGGTTTTGTTCCGTATTGTTTTGATCAATTCTATTATACCTGATGATATAGACAACTCAATTTGAAAATAGCAAGAGGCACAATGGTAACCACTTTTGATCACCTGGTATTCTATTTTTGCATCACGTGCTATGCTCACCCTTCTGTTTTAACTGACTCTGTTTTGCTTAGTCACATTTGTTTTTATTCTCTTCAAAAATGTAATAAGAACCATGAGAGTAATAAAACCCTAAAAGTCTAATTGTTACTGTATAAAAGAGGAAAGTAAGGTGGACTAAGGGATATAACCGCAGATATGTTCGAGAGTGTAGGACGGAAAACCATATAACTGAGCTTTTGTTGGATCATTGAACGGAACTGTCTCCAATTCCACTGTATGAATGTTCACTTTATATGCTTTAATTTAGTGATATGGACAACTGTTTCTGGGAAGATAATGTGTAGCTGTTAACTGGTGATTTCATACTGTATACATTTTTTTCTAGAAATACTGTATTATTTGTACCCTTTTACTGCATTGTTTTTTTTAATGTCCTTTTTTTTCTTCTCTCTTTAAAGAAAAAAAAAAGAAAATATGTTCTCCACAAAGTATGGGAATATGGTACTTTTTATAAAATGTTGTATTTCCCATACAGAGAATAATGTACCCATTAATATCACTTAATACTTGCTTTTGATATGAATAATTCTCAATCATATATAGGGTATAGACTAGATCAAAGCACAAATTAAAAATCATGTGCAAGTGAAAATCCTGATAAGTGAAGCTAATATTACACAGAGATAAATGTTCCTTCTACGTTATATATACTTTTGTGTTGTTCTGTACTTAAATTTAAAAAGCTGAAGTTCTGCATTTGAAATATTACAGGCTGGGGATTTAACTTGGCATCATAAGTACATAATGGCAAGCAGGAGGTCATGAGTTCAATCCCTGGTACAAAAAAATCTCCAATTAAAAAAAAGAAATATTCATTACACACTAGAAAAAAACAAATTAAACATGAAGAAGTGAAAGTTGGGATACAATCTGAAAGTAATATTTAAAAAATGAATACAAATATTCACTGTTCAGAGTGATATTAGTCTAGTCTCTTAGGTTCAATTTCAGCATACGTGAAGATAAGGACAGCTACTATGAAGAGAATGAGAGACACTATGGTAGTTATTATTGTCTTCCCCAATGTCAGATCTTGAAGACCTAAAAAGCCTTCATCATCCTGTAATGATTTGATTAGTTCTATAATATGCAGTATGTATTTAATGTGCATGAAGATGCAACTATTTGGAAGAAACTAGAGACAATTAGATAAACAGTGAAGATCTCCAGTGGACTTGCTTTGAAATCTGTATTTCTTTAAATTGTTTCTTTTTGAACTGTTTTGTTCTGGTTTGATATGTTTAATCTTACCCTCTTTAAGATAAAAAAACAAGAGTGTAGGACTGATAACCATATTACTAAGTTTTTGTTAGATCACTGAGCAGAACTTTTGGCGGTGTCACTATTTGAATGTCACTTTACATACTTTAATTTTGTAACCTGAACAACTATTTCTAAGATGACAATATGTAACTTATCAACTGGTGATTTCTTATTGTTTATTTTCCTGTAATTCTGTTTTATTTCTACCCTTTTTTTCTCCATGTATTTTTTTTGTTGTTGTTCTTTCTCTTTAAATAAAAAAAAATTCCTCTTAAAAAAATGAATACAAAGAGAAAATGAGTAGAATTAAATAATTCTGGTAACAAAAAGCAACAACTCTGAGTACAATTAATCAAAAAAAAAGAAAAATTTAAAGCTAAATTAATATGACAGAAATTTCTCCATTGGTACTGCTATATGGAAAATTTTTCTATGAAAATATAAGTAACTGGGCCAAGGATTTAGCTCAGTGGCTTAAGCACCTGCCTGGCAAGCGTGAGGTTGTGAATTCGATCCCTGGTACCAAAAAAAAAAAAAAAAAAAAAAGTAATTTCATTTTTGAAAGAAACAATGAGATAACAACTTCCACTACTACACTGTACACCATGGGCAGTGCAATAAAGAAAACATACGAAAAAAGGCAGAAATACGAATAATAGGACTTTCCAGTGACAATAGTTTCTAAGCAAAAAATTCATATAAATAAATAAAATGATATTGAATTTCCTAGCTATGGAATACAAGATTATCACAAAAAATGAAACCTTTTTCCACACCTCAGTCATAAGTTGCTTATAAAAAAATTGTGAAAATTGATCTTTGTAACATTTAAAAATCATTAAATATGTAGTGATATATCCTGTAATGGTTTTGAAAGATATCAAAGTTAAATTACTGAAATACTCCTTTGACAATAAAAATTAAATCGGTGGCTGCAGAAAGCACGTTCACAGATGGAAAGACTCAATAACGGAACAGTTTCTCTTTCAGTGTTTCTTCATATGTATTTCCCTGGGACTTAACAACCATGTTGGCTTCCTAATATGAGGTTGTTCATTGAATATCTGGGAAAAATTTATAAAGTTTTGATATAGAAATTTATAAAATCTATAAAGTTTTGATATAGATGAAATAAGTGAAGTAAGGGAAGTAAAAAAGGCAAACTCTTTACTACTTTGCAAAAATAGAAAGCTTTCATGCATCTGCCAGATTTGAAAGGAGAATAAATCACAAGCAGTATTATACAGGAGTTACTCTCTATATACTGTTCTTTTATTTTGCGTGTAGTTACTCTCTATATACTGTTCTTTTATTTTGCAAAAGTGATGTGTGAGGATGCATGCTGGAAGCAATGGCTCCAGCTAACTGAGGCAAGAGGATTTTCTGTGAGAACACAGCATTGGCAACAGAGTGAATTAAAGAGATCCTTTGTCAAAGTTAGTAAAATTTAAAAGGGTTAGGAATATATCTCAGGGGAAAATTTCTGAATTCAATCCTACCTACTGAAAAAGAGAGAAAGAAAACAAAAACTTAAAAATTAATAATTTAATTCAAGTGTCGTAAGTTTCTAGGAATGACTTTGTTGGGGGGAAAGTGAAATAATATACTCAGGCAAGTGACAGTTTTAATTTTTAATAGATATGGAGCAGTGTGTGAAGTGTCTAGACCGTCAATATGCCAATTCTCAAAATAAACCACTGCCTGCAAAAAACTGTGACTTTTTTTAGCTTATGCAGATCCTTTGGGTAAAGCTCTGGCTGGCACCCCTTTAAGTTTCCCTGTTTTCACAGCTGCTGTCCTTGGGCTCTTTGTGAAGCACCTGAGACACTCCCATTTTCAAGGCCAACTGGGCTCTCAGTTACACCCTGCTCTTCTCCCTCTCCTGCTTCCTCTGCTCCTTGCTCTTCATTGGCCGTCCCAGCACAGCCAGCTGCATCCTCCAGCAGACCACATTCGCAGTTGTCTTCACTGTGGCTATTTCCACTGTCTTGGCCAAAACTATTACTGTGGTGCTGGCCTTTAAGGTCACTGCTCCAGGCCGAAGGGTGAGGTGGCTGCTGGTATCAGGGCCACCAATTACATCATCCCCATCTGCTCCCTGATCCAACTCACTCACTGTCATGTCTGGATGGGAACAGATCCACCCTACATTGACATAGATGCACACTCTGAGCATGGCCACATCATCATGGGCAACAAGGACTCCCTCACTGCCTTGTACTGTGTCCTAGGATTCCTGGGCTCCCTGGCCCTGGTCAGCTTCACTGTGGCTTTCCTGGCCAGGTACCTGCCTGACACCTTCAATGAAGCCAAATTTCTGACATTCAGCATGCTGGTGTTCTGCAGTGTGTGGGTCACCTTCCTCCCCGTGTACCACAGCAGCAAGGGGAAGGTGATGGTGGCCATGGAGATCTTCTCCATCTTGGCCTCTGGTGCAGGGCTTCTGGGCTGCATCTTTGCACTCAAGTGCTACATTATTTTATTAAGACCACAGGGAAATATCTTCCCTGGGTTCAAGGTAAAATACATTCTGGATTAAAAAAAAACCTTCTTAAGTTGAAAATAAACTCTTTTACTAAAGTATGTTTAGTGTCTGAGGCAATTCTGCATCATTTTCCAGTCTTACATTTGATAGTTTGGGATTTACTGAAATGAATAAAGGACTTTTAGTTTTTTCTTTAACAATCTTATACTTGTAATTGTCAGTAACTATCACATCTTTCAATTGGAATTTTATTCTAGATTTTTGTCCTATTGATTCTACAGCCAATCTTATTATCTGTGTTAAATTTTGATTATGTTATTCCATTTTCTTTTCTCCTTGAATTTTTTGACACTGTTAGGAATTTTAACACACTTTTGGTTATAGATCCAATTCTTCAATCCCCTTATGCATTTAAGAATTTCTCTCACATTAGTCTTTTAATATTCCAGAAATTACTCATCATATGTTACAATAAATATTCTTTAAGGTGGCAAGGTGTTAGATTCATATTTTAACTCAGGTGTAAATGTGTTAGTATGTAGTACTGATTTTTCCCATGCATAGTTGTATGACTCTTTCCATGTACCCTTGTTCACTAATCCTTTGTTAACATGAATCATGTATCTATGTCTAGTGTTTGCTTTACATACATTTTATATATAAATCAGTGGGGAAGGGACAGATGCTGTCTGACTGCCCTGCTGTTGTAGTAAATGACGGGACTTAATAGCCAGGGAGGACACTGCAGCAAACTGTCCCAGTCCATTGGGGGGCAAGGAAGAGAAAAGGGGAGTAGGCAGGAAGTCAGTCTGCTATTGGTCGGACTACACAGCCCCTCCAGCTGGAGAAGTGAGTCAGGTTCTTCTACAATCACCACTTCATTGAGGTAGTGTGTCATTTTCAGTGACTGAAATAATATTCCCATTCAGGCTGACACAGTCCTGTAGCAAAACATAAACTGTTTTACCATGATGGTTGAAATCCACCTTTGCCCAGTTATCATCAATTGTGACCTGTTCATTTCTTAGGAGAGTGTATTTTCTTTTCCTAACATGTTTTTCTTTGAAAACAAGAATGCATACATATGCCCACTACAACAGAAATAGTTAAGCATACCAAATGTCATAATAAAATTTCTTTTTAAGCAAGGTAATGTTTGCAAAAGTCATGATAAACACTAAGCATCAGGGGCACTTCAAAACAGGAAAGTGAAGCTTCGACAGGTGGCCAGCCAGGCTTTTCACCACTCACCACCACGCAGGGTACCAGACCTGGGACCAGAGACAGGAGAGAAACAGGGAAGACTTTGACACAAAGAACTCAACTGCTGGTATCCACTACAAAGCAACAAACAGGACAGCATTTTTAGCTTTTAGAACAACCATTCAAGAAACCACTCCCAGAAAATTGGGCGAACACATATAATAAAATCAAACTTCGCTCTTTGTTAGTAACTTTATCAAGCAAAACGACTGCTTAATCAGCCTTGTACGTTAGGCGAAGAGGGAGAGGATCTATCAAACCCTTGCACTGCCGGGAGAGTTCCAGGAGCACGGTAATAGGGCCGGGTTTGTGATTCGAGACCAGGTCATAGCTTCTTAAGATCAAGGCTGCTCTATGATTTTGTTTCCAGAACATCAATCTTGGCCAGGAAAACAATGAGCAGCGCAGTAGCGCAGCGCAAACAAAGCCACGCCCCCTTCAACCAGAGGCTGCGGGTCCTGGCACGTTCCAAGTGCGCAGGCGCGGGGATGGGGGCGTGGCATCGTGGTCCGCGCAGCTGTGACACGTGGCTGAGGAGGCGTGCCACTCCAATTCAGTCTGGTGTCTCAGGTTCTTGCTCTCTCCGCTGGACCCAGTCCAGCGGTCCTGCCCTGAGGGAGGACAGTAAGCGCGGTGGCGGAGCTGAAGACTGGAGAACGGTGGAGGAAGGTCAGACGCCGGCATAGGTGGTCGCTAGGGGCTGAGGGAGGCAGCGGGACGGGCGGAGCCGAGGGGCGGGTGTGTGGTGCGGGGTGCGGGGCCTCTTGATGGACGGGCGGTAGGCCAATGGGCGAAGGGCGGGTCCGGGAGGACGGGCCTTCGGAGAACTGGCGCGCTGTTTGGTATCCTGAGGACCGCTATCGGGCCTCTGGCCTTAAGTTGGGGAATCTGTGCCAAGTGCTTTCCTAAGGCATTTAGTGATCGCCACTCTGGAGCGTGTGCGCCACAGCCATGGTGCTGAGTTCCACGGAAAACGTTTGTGGGAGATCTTGCTCCTGCCCACGGAGCCCCTGAGTAGGTCTGAGGAGGAGACAGATGACCTCCTCAGCAGTGCTGAGCGAATCTGTTGCAGTGGCATTTGATCTCCCCGTTGTTTAACCTTGGTTGACCTGTGCTGCTTCTGGGGTAATAAGATTCCTACTTACACTCACGGGGAAAGGAAATGATGATTATTTATGTTCTGCATTGTTGTTAGAAAACTTAGTCTTTTCTTTTGCCTTATTGAATGGAGAGAGTATGGGTCAGGTATTGTAACCTAACCAAAGCACTGCCATCCTATTCTGTAAGCATCCTTACCCAGACCTTTGTTCCAACTTCTTTTCCCCATAAACTACTGCTTTCCAAGAACAGCAGTGTGTCCCTGGAACTAGCTGAGCACAAGTTACACAAGTTAATATCCTGTAGAGTTAGGAAATTTGTCTCCAGGTCAAATCAAGAGACAAAAGACCTTCTTCCCCCTTGGCCCCCTCTCTTTGCTTTGCGGTTTTCCCCTTTATAAACCTCCTAGGAACCTAACCTAGTTGCACAGTTCTGCAGTTTCCAACGCGACTGTGCCTCTGGGTACCAGCTTAAAGCGCTTCTTTTTCTTTTTGGATGACGTCTTGCCTCGTTTTTGAGGTATATCATTGGGGTGCAACTTCAGGAAATATGATACTCGAGGGTGTGGAGAACAGCAGAGACCCCTCCTGGGCTTAGCCACCTGCTGCGTGAACTTGATCAAGTTACTGTTCCGAGTCTCTTCTTCACCTATGAAAAAGCTGATGGAAATACAAAGCACATGAATTTTCTGCCATTAAGGATGGCTCTTGGATTGGATATTGAAGTCAGGACATCTCTCTACCCACACCAGTGAAGAGCAGAAACCTCTGGCTACGCCCCCGTATGTCTAGCTGGCTACTTACATATTTATCAGAATTTTATTAAACGCTCTTGTTATGCTAAAGCCCCTGCCCTGAAACCTGGAAGCCGAGAAGAGCAAGACAGAAGATTTCTCGTTTTCCATAGTTTATAGAAAAATAGTGAGTAAAATAGGTTCAGTTAGTGCTAAGAGATAACAAAGAAATTAAGTACAAGGTGATACGATAAAGGTGCAACCTAAAGCAGCATGTATGCATAGTTTGTGTGCGCATGCACGTGGTACATGTGTGTGTATTGCAGTGTTTTGGACTCTTTTTAAGTGGCAAAATTGGGGAGTGAGCTGAATCCTGAATATTGAGTCATCATTTCCATGGCTGGGGAGCTAGCGATTACTAGGCACAGATTGATTAGGTAAGGCACAATGTCTGACCAAAGATGCGTAGATTGACCTGCAAGCCTCCTTTAGAAAGAGGGAGTAGGTGGTGCTCATCAGTCTTTGGGGATTGAGAACTAAAACAGGAAAAGAACTTTTACTTGGCAGAGGTGATTGAAGAGGCTGTGTGCAGATTAAAAGATCTGGATGGTCAGAAAATAGGAGTAGGCTAAGGAAGTCAGATTGGGGCTCCATCTGGCATCTGACTGGATAGCAGAAATATTTACTGTCTCCCATCTTCTCCCTCCCCAGTGCTTTAGAGTGAACCCAAGTGTTTGTGCAGGCAAATGCTCTACCTCTGAGCCACTGGTCCAGCCAGGAATTATTCTATTTCTTTTTTTAATTAATGAATTTTATTGGTACGTTTTAGATATACATAATGCTAACCTTCATGGTATGGAATTTCTGTCTGTATGTGATATAACTTGATTCTTTTTTCCTCTTTCCCTCTCTTCCCTTCAACTGCTCATCTCTTCCTTATTTACAAAAGCTTTGTTTTCATTTTTCCATTCTCCCTTTTTCTAGTCCCAGTCCTCTCCCTAGTTCCCCTTCTCATTTGAATATTTTCTTGCTATTTCACAATATCTAATACACATTTCAATCCAAGTATAAATATACACTTTCAGTTTCTCATAACGTATAAACGGTGCAATATTTGAGCATGTGTGTCTGATTAATTTCACTTAAGACTATAGTCTCAGCATTCATCCATTACATAGAAATTTCTCAAGCTTACCCTTTTTATGGCTGAATAGCCTCCATTATATTAAAAAAAACCCCATACCTTCTGTATCCATTCATCAGTTGATGGGCATTTGACTTGTTTCCAAGATTTAACTACTACCAATTGCTACTATAAACATGAGAATGCATATATTGCTGTGGTGATTCTTTTAATTCTTTTGGGAAGATACCAAGAAGGGGGAAAACTGGGATAAGTGGAACCTGTAGACCTAGGTTTTGAGGGATTTCCACACTGATTTCCATAGTAGTTATACCAGTCTACATTCTCACCAATAGGACATAAGGGCTGCTTTTTCCCCACCAGCCTTCCACCATTTGTTATTTGTTGATTGCTTAACAATAGCCACATTTTCTTGACAGTAACGAGATGGAATCTGTGTTTTTTTAATTTGCATCTTTCAAGTGACCAGTGATCTTGAACCATTTTTACATGTATTTATTTGCCATTTATATTTCTTGATCTGAGAAGTGTATATTCATTTCAGATGCCCATTTTTAGATTGGGGCTTTAAATTTGAACGGTCAGATTTTATTTAAGTTCTTTATATACTCTCAACATTAGTTTTTTGTCTGAGGAACAGATAATAAATTTTTTTCCACCTCTGTGTATTGTCAGTTTATTCTGTTGGTGATTTCTTTTGCTGTGCAAAACTTTTTAGTATGACGGGATCCCAGTTGTTGATTGTTTTGTGAATTTTACTGTGAGATTAGAGTTTTATTCATTGTGTGTGCCTACACCTTTGTCTTCAGGAGTTCTATTTATTATTTCTTATAGCAAGTTTAGTGTTTTCTTTTAATATTTAGATCTTTGATCCATGCAATTTTAATTTAGTGCATGGTGAGAGAGATATGGATCTAGTTTTAGTCTTTGGCATGTGGAAAAGCCAGCTTTCCCCCTATTATTTATTAAAGAGGCTTTCTTTCAATGATTATGTTTGAACATTTTGTGAAACATTATGGTTTAGTTTGTTCAGAATTGTTTCTGTATCCTCTGTGCTGTTCCATTGATCCTGGGTTCTGCTTTTCTTTTGTTGTTGTTATTTTTTATTTATGTATGTATTTATTTTTGCTTATTTTTCCTTCTCTTCTCAGTATTGTACTGTTTTTGTCACAGTAGCTCTGAAGTATAATTTCAAGCCAGAGATTGTAATGCCACCTGCCTTGCTTTTGTTGTCTAGGATTCCTTTTGCTATTCTATGTCTCTTCTGGTTCCAAGTCAGTTTTAGAAATGTTTCCTCTAACTCAGTAAGGTATGCTATAGGTGTTTTCATCAGGATTGCATTAAATCCTTATGGATTTTGGGAGTATGTACAGTTTCACTATATTGGTTCTTCTTACCCCCAGAATAAGGAATAGGTTTCCATTTTCTGACATCCTTTTCAATTTCCCTTTTCCAACTACTGCAATTTTGGGTGGTAAGTTCTTTTACTTCTTTCATTTGGTTAATTCCTAATTATTCCTTTTGGGGTTTTTTGGATGCTATTGCAAAAGATATTGTTTCTCTAATTTCTCTTTCTGATTTCATTATTTGGATATAGGAATGCAATGAACTTTTAACTAACGTGGTACAAAATTTGGTTTTTAAATCTAGGTGTCTTTTGGTGGACATTTTGGTGTTATCTTTGTAGAGTATCATGTCATGCACAAATAATTATTTATTCCTTTTCCATCTTTATTTCTTTTATGTCTTTCCCTTCTCTGTTTTCTCTGGCCATTATTTCCAGAACAACATTGAACAGGAGTAGTGACAGTGGACATCCTTGTCTTGTTCTTGATTTTAGAATGACAGCTTTCAGTTTTTGTCCATTTAGTATGATGCTGGCTGTTGGTTTGTCATAGATGGCTTTTATCTGATTGAGATAAAGGTGATGTGTTCCAGTTTTCTATAGGGTTTTTATCATGAATGGGTATGGGAATTTGGACCCTATGGTCTGAGAGTATGCATGGAAATAATTTCAGTTCCTTTGTAAGTACTTAATGGTATTCTGTGGGTTAGTATGCATTCTGTTTTGGATAACATCCCATGCATAACTAAGAAAAATGTGTATTATGTGTAGGGTGGAACACTCTGTACATATCTACTAAATCCCACAGGTTTGGTTCACTTCTGATACTTCTTTGTTGATTTCTTATCTAGGTGCTGTGCCTATTTTTGTCAGTGGGGTATTATGATCCCGTTACTATGATTATTCATGTCTGTTAATATGTTTTAATATAGTTGGATGCACTGGCATTTGGTACATGCATATTTATGATCTTTCCCTCTTGCAGTTTTCTCTTAGCAAGTATGTAGTGCCTTCTTTGTCTCATTTAATCAGTCTTGGCTTGAAGTTCACTGTCTACAAATAAACTAGTTACTTGTGCCTTTTTCTGGGTTCGTTTTTCATCCTTTGAATTTCAGTCTCTTGATTGCTTTTTGAGTTTAAATGTGTTTCATTTATGCAACATATTGTTGGATCTTTTTGTTCATCCATTTTGCCACTCTGCTTCTTTTGAATGGTGAATTGAGGCCATTTACATTGATAGTTATAAGTGATATGTATTGATTTATCCTGTTGTATTTTCCTGTTGTTGGTTCCTTACCATTCCCCTCTGTTTAACTGATTGCCTTTCCTGATGGTTTCTTATCGTTGGTGTTCTTGGAATTGTACTCTTGTCTCTTTCTAAAATATTTTTCAGAATATTTTGTAGAGCTAGTAGATCATGAATTTCTTCAGTTCTTTGTCGTGGAAGTATCTTATTTCTTTATCAACTTTGAAAGATAGCTTTGCAGTATATATCAGTTTGGGTTGGAGGCTGTTTTCTTTTGGGTCCTGAAATACTTCACTCCGAGCTTTTCTTGACTTAAGGGTTTGTATTGAAGTCTTCTGTGATTCTGACGGTCTTCCTTTAGAGTTGATTTGTTTTCCTCTTAATAGCTTCTAGTATTGTATATTGTGCTGAATTTCTGGAATCTTGACTTTATGCCTTAGGTTACATTTTGTTTACTTGTTTTTGCTGGTTTGGTTTTTGTTTTTGGTATAGGGTCTTGCTTCTAGTGTAGATTGTCTTTGAACTCACTATGTAGCCCAGGCTGGCCTTGAACTCATGGTGATTCTCCTACCTACTGATCACTGGGACTATGGGTGTGTGTCACCATGTCTGACTTGGCTAGATTTTTAAAATCATGGCTAATTGGAATTGTATATGCCTTATTATTTGTGTTTCAAATTGTTTTTTCATGTTTGGGAAGTTTTCTGCCATTACTTTGGTAAATAGGTTTTTTATGTTGTTTGCAGTATCTCCTGGAGTTGCTATTGACTCTGTTCAATCTTATTTTATTCTTCTTTGAAGCACCTAGCAGCTGGTGGATTGATTTTTCATGGTCCCTTTCTATTTTTAACAAATCTTTTTTTTCATGGTCACAAACCAAAATTCTGTTTTCTAGATCTGATATTCTGTCCTCACATTGTCTCGTTCCCCTGTGTATCTTTTAAATGGAATTTTTTTTTTTTATCGGTACCAGGGATTGAACTCACGACTGCCTGCTTGCAAGGCAGGTCCTTATGCCGCTGAGCTAAATCCCCAGCCCCTAAATGGAATTTTTAATCTCAGGCATCTATTTGAATCTGTTTCATGGTTTTCATTTTTTTCCTTATATGGGGAATTTATGGTTTCCATTATTTTTCTGAACTCCTCTATGTTTTTTATGTACATCTTCTCTAGAATCACTAATCATGCCCTTCAGTATGCCCATCATTTCTGAAGTCATCTGAGAAATTATTTCTGATTTGACTTTTTCCTAGAGCCTCATCCATCTGCTTTGTTGCTTTTACTGATATACCACTTTAGAGAGTCCAGAGGGTTGCTTTCGAATTGTTCCGCCTCATCGTCCCTTGGATTTGCCTTTGGGGAACTGCTGAGCAGGAGTTGCATCTGGCTTCTGTCTTCTCGTTTTCTGTTTTTTATTTCAGTATAATTCATGCATTGATGCTTATAAATTGCTTGTGGTAAGCATCTTTATTTCTGTTCTCAAGAACTCTTAAGAAATGACCGCTTCTTAGAGATGTCTTCAAATTATAGCTGACTTTTGGGTGTTGATTCTGTTGTAAAATTCTACTGCTCAAATTATTGGGGATGAGAAGTTGCTGCCTACTTGGCCTACTAGCTTGTGGTTCTTTGGCACTGGCCTGTAGTATTGTTTATGATCCTCAGGTAGTCTCATTCTTGGCATATATGGAAGAACAAATGATTAGGCCAGTTTTGTCACCTTGGGTAAAGTAGTACAATGATTAATAATTGCATCCTACACCCCCTAAAAAATAACAGCCTTGGGGCCAGGGATATTGCTCTGTGGCACAAGCGCCTGCCTAGAAAATGACAACCTTCGTAACTATTGATTTGCCACATTTATACATATGAACAGAACTTGTAGTTACCTAAGCAAATCTAAAAGAAACCAGAAAATTCTGTATAGTACATAGTCCCTTAAAAGGCAATTTTATCCTCAAGAAAGAAAATTAAAAACAAGTTAAAGGGAAAAAATAGAGCAAGAAAAGAAGAAAAATAGAGCAAGAAAAAGGGATTAGAAGCAAGGCTGGAGGACAAAGAAAGATTTGGAAAACTGGTGAAGAGGACGGGAGGAACGGAAGAAAGACAGGTACAGTGGAAAAGAAACAAAAACCAAGTGGTATAAAACCAGGAACAAACAATCAAGAAAAAGGGAAAAAATTAAAAATAAAAATAAAAAATTTAAAAAAATTAAAAAGCAAAGGAAGGAAAGTAGAAATAAGAAATTAGGGTGTGTCTCTGCTGTCACTCGTTGACAGAGGGGCCAGACAGAGCCCAGATCCATGTTGACTGATCCCAGCAAACCAGCAGTAGAATTACGGTGGTGGTGCATAATCCCAGCCTTTAATTCCCCTGAAATTCAGACTACTGCATTCTGGCTATGGGCTTGGGCCTGTTTTTCAGCCCACTACACCCCAAATGACTGCTGCTGACACTTGCTCCCCTGGACCAACTTGAGTATGGCTGTGCTTCACTCTGAGGCTTGTGGCCATTAGATGGCGCCAGGCCTCCAGGTGTTCTGAGTTGTGACTTCTGTTGCCCCTTTCCTAAAAGGCTGCTGACCAGTCATCCTTTCCTGGGGGACATCTGAACCTGAATAACTCCCAGCCCCTGCAGTCCACAGCATCCACTGCTCTGTTCTCCCAGTGTGTTTCTCCATGGAAGCCCTTGGGATCACCGGTAGTCACTGTGCCTCTGGGGGTCCAAGCCGCCCCTCGCTTTGCCAGAACAACATGGGCTCAGGGAGAAAACAGTGCTTGCCACCTCCCTGCTCTGCACTGTGGTCCCCTCTTCATTCTCCTCGTAGTCTGCAATTCTCACCTCAGATCCTTTCAGGGTCCCAGGAACCCACTTCCCTCCTTCTCCTCCTCCTCTTCACATTGCTGTATTCCGGTGTCCAGATTTCAAATATTGTAGAGGCCGTTTCTCTGCTGCTCACCACTCTGCCATCCTCCTGGACGTGCAGCAGTTACTTAATTTCTATATATATTGCCATCAAACAGCTGCATTGTATTGTAGAGACCAATAGAATAAAGATGTATTAATAGAATGGGTTTTAGGCTTTTAAATATATATACTGAAAAGAGATGGACCTCTCATCTATGTTAGAGAAATTACTTCCTAAAAGTGAGCAGTGGAAAGCAAAATAGAAGAACCGGTCCCCAGAATGGCAATTAGAGGAGGAAAGAATGTGCAGGGCTCGCAGGGAAAATTTCAGAAGAGGAGAGAAAAGATGAAATGAAGCCCTGAGCCCTTGCTTGGCTGAGGAGGACAAATACTGAGAAGTAGGACTGTGAGTGCCACTTGCCTCTTCTGGACAAGCCTTGTTGGTGACTCTGGTGGTGCCAGGGTTTCATGGGCCTTCCCTCCAGGAGAAGGCGAGGCAGCTTGGGTCTGCAGGGGCCACGTGGCTGAGCCTGTGAGGAGATGATGCAAAGGACTCACCAGTGCCAGCCTTGATCCCATGGCACTGTCTTTCTGTGGAAAATTATTAGAAAGGTATCCAGGCAGCAGTGGATACCTTTCCACTGCTGGTTTGGAGGTTGGGGTCTTTCTTGGGCACCTGCTGCTTAGCCACTGCTGATGAAGGCTGTAGATGAGATGCATGAGTCTGCTGCAGGCTCCTGCAGGTGCACAGCACATGCAGAGAACATGGTCCCTGCATGCTGTAGAGTCTACAACCCAGTGTACATCAGTAACCACTGTGGAGCCCATTATGTACCATTTCACTGCTCCACAGAGAGGTAACACTTCCCTTTGTGTTTTTTCTCTAGAACCATGGCTGATAAAATCCAGGAATCCGGTGGCATTGATTTCCCCTTTCCCTTCCCACCCTATTCCAACCAGAAGAACTTCATGGCAGAGCTGTATCACGTGCTGGAGGCTGGCAAGATTGGGATATTTGAGAGTCCCACTGGCAACAGTGAGTGCGTGACATGGGATGATGGCTGAGAACATGAAGGCTTCCACTTCTCACCTCTGCAGAGATTCTTGTGGCTGGAAGTCGGGCACCATGGTCATTCAGATTGCCTCTGAGCTCCTCTGTCTCAGTTGGTAACCTCGGAGGCCCTTAGGCTTTGGGATCCTTGCTCTACTAACTCAGGTCCAAGTATCTGTCTCTCTGTCTGTTCTTGAGCTGGTTATTTGCTCTTCTGCTTTTTTGTTTTTGTGAGTATGAATCGATTGACTTTTGTCCAGTATTAAGGGATTTGGCTGGAAACATGGAAGAGCAGCATTGATCTTGCCTCGCTTACCCTGTTGGCCTTGTGCCTCCCTTTGTGGATTTCCATCCTTGTCCTCTGTTTCCCTCACATGTCCCCTCACTCTCCCCAGCCCTTATGTGTTTATCCTCGGTTCCGTGGCTTCTCTTCTCGTGTGTCCATTCCTGTGGAAATCTGCCCCCATGACACTGTTCCCCTTTATGTTCTGGTGCCTTCTAAATCACACCTCCAAGGAGATGCCATACCCTCTCATAACCCGAGTGGATTTTCTTTACCCTCCTGCTTCTAATGCACAGCCCAAGATACCTGGTTAACCTCTGAGTCACTAGTGAAACCTTCTGTGATTCCAACACCTAGTGGTGGCATCTTCACTTGGTGCCTGCACTGCCCTACATGGCACTGCAAGCTCTGGGAGTGTCACTATCTAGATTTCACCACAGTGTGTGCCGTCCCTCCAAGTGCACGTTACTCTTTCCCCTGGGCACTTTCTAGGTGCCCATGCCCAGTCCCAAATGTGATTCCCCTGCACCCAGGAGATGTCAGGAAAATGAATGAATTTCCTTTCCTGGTTGTGAACATTACAGCGAGGTGTGTGGGGTCCTGCTGCATGAGATGCCATCAGTCATCCGGTGCTCTGGGAGTGTTCGGTAAAGTCTGTTCCGTGTCTGTAATTTTGGAATTTTGTGCAGAGTTTTGTTTTATTTTTGGTTTGTTTACTTTTGGTTTTGGTACTTGGGATTGAAACCTGGGCCTTCTCCATGCCAGGCAAGCACCATACGGTGGAGTGACACCCTCAGATCACTGCAATGCATTTATTTATACACTTGGCATGTTGGTGTCATGTAACACTCTGCCTACACGTGACACCTGTTTGCTTGGGTTAACTTGGGCTCTCCATGTCCCCAGAGCTAGAGCAGCTCATTCACATGGCTCACCTTGGGTGCTTTTCATTCTCAGGACCAGCTTTACTCCAGCCCCACACGTGGTACTGACCTCCAGTTCAGCTGCTACCCACACTTGCCCACCTGACCCAGCTGCTGGCTGCTGATGTCCCAGATTGCCCAGAGCCCCAGCCCAGGTTCTGTTGATTGTGCTGCCCAGGACATTGCCATCCAGTGTCTCTCAGAAGCTGAGTGAAATGGTGCACTCAGCAGCAGTGTACTCTGGCACAGGGCCTTTCAAGTTCTAAGGCATGCCCATAGCTTCCACATCTCTGGATGATGATAATTTTATTAGTATTGTATACATCTCCAGCTGCTCACTTACTGTGTACCAGGTATTCTTTGGATCCTGCTACAGGCATTTGCCTTTCTGTCTTAACTAATTTCAGTGCCTACACCTCTGTGAGGAAGGGATGATCCTCACCCCCTTTTTGCATACATGTGTGGCAGCATGCATTACGAGGTGACCGCAGAGCCCCAGAGCTGGGAAGCAGAGGAGCCAGGATGTAGCCCCAACAGCCTGGCGGTAGCATCTGAAGCCTCAGCTTGCAGTCTGCACTTCCTCCTCCCTGGGCACGGGCTCTGTCTCCCCACTGCGCATTCTGCTTGGATCAGGGTTGGAACCTGTGCTGTAGCATCCTTGTCCCTGGGCAGAAGGGCTGAGGACCTGAACCGACCAGGTGCACCCAGAGGAGCAGCCTGTGGACTCGGTCTGTGCCAGAGACCTTGTCACCCAGAACCTCACCCCACACCTGAGGGGCTCACACAGCAGGACCTGCTGTCTTACACTTCTGCAGGTAGACTTCAAGGTGGCAGCAGGGCTGGCTTTTCCTAGGGCTGCAGTGAAAGGGTCTGTCCATGACCGTCCTTCCATGGACACAGTCTTCACCTCTGTGGCTGCATCTGGCCCCCACCCCAACACACAGGTTCTTGGGAAACATTAGTGCTCCCCTAGCCTCAGGTTCGCTAATTACATCTATAGTGATCCTGTGCCCAAATAAGGTCACTCTCTGGGATAGGACAAGGACTTCCTCATCCCAGCTTTGGGGGGATTCATTTCAGCCTGCAGCGAGGGCCACAGGGAAAACTTTGATATTTAAATCATGTCTCCAGAGCAGTTGACTGACTTTGGGGGGAAAAAAACGAACAAAACCTTAAGCAGTAGGACAGATAGTGTTGTGTCTGCACATTGGTTGCTTTAAAGCTGAGGCTAACATTGCTTGGCAACTCTGTAGATTTGCTCTGTTGAAAAGCTCTGAATTCCTTTCTATCCAGTTTAGTTTTTATTAGTTCTTATTTGCAGCACATAATGATTCCCCTCCCTTGGGGAGCTGGCACATGGACACAGCACATCTTAATTCCCTTTTCATCCCCTTCTCTTCCCCTCCCTCTTTCATCCCTCCATCTCTTGGTCTTCTTCCCATTTGCAAAAGAGCTGTCTCACTAGTTCCTATTTTCTGTCTTTTGATTTGCTCTTTATTTATATTTTGGGTTTTGTATAAGAAACCACATGATAGATAAGCTTTTGTGTCTGATTTATTTTACTTAACCTTATGAGCTCAAGGTATGTCCATTTTCTACAAATGACTCAAGTTTACCCTTCTTTGTGGCAGAGTAGTACTCCCATGTCTGTAAATACCACATTCTCTTTATCCATTCATCTGTGGACGGACATAAAAGTTGTTTCCAAGATTTAGCTCCTATGAGTATGCTGCTGTGAAGTACACATGCATCACTGAAATGAGTAGACACTTCTCTGAAGAAGTAAAAGCGGTCAATAAATATGTATAAAAAATATTCAGCATCCTGACCATTAGAGGAATGCCAAATAGAGCAATACTGAGATTTCATCTTTTTCCAGAAAAATTGGCTGTCAGGAAGAAGTCAAATAGTAGCAAGTCCTGGTGAGGCTGGAGGGGAAAGGAATCCTTCTCCACTGGTGGTGGGAATGTAAACTGGTATAGCCACTGAGGAAGTCAGTGTGGAGATCTCTCAAAACCCTAAAAGTAGAAATTCCATTTGACCCAGCTATTCCCCTTCTGGATGTCTTCCCCAGAGAGTTAAGGATGTTGTATTACAGGGACACATACCTTAATTCTTTTGGCAGAGGTGCTAGTCTAATTGATTGTTGCTGGTTGTTACCATGCAGAATTTGTATGCACCCCACAAAGCCACCGTAAGTTCCTTTCGGAGTGTTAAGCATCATGATTAAAGCAGTTCTTTCCTGCTGCTGGGCCCCATGTCTGTTTCTTTCCTTTTCCGTGTTTGTCCTGGCTGTTGTATTGGCTGCTCCTTTCCTTTCCTTTCCTGTCCTGTCCTGTCCTGTCCTTTCCTTGGTTGACTCAGGGAGCCCTTTAATTTGTAAAGCCAGAGCTTTGAAGCCTTTACGAAAATGAGAAAAGTCTTCTAAATTTTAGCAACTTGGAAGGCTGAGCTGGTTGGGTGAAAGGGGCCAGTCCAGCCTGGCAAAATATCAAACTCTGTTTCAAAATTAAAAGCAGAAAAACAAAAAGTGGTATAGTGCTTGCCTGGAAGGAAGAAGGCGAGTTCACGTAGGGAGCGCCGCCATCCAAGAGGAGGGAAGCTTGGGAGAAACGCTCAGCAACTCGCCCTCTGTTCCCACAGGAAAAGTTCCTGAGTCTCATCATCGGGGCTCTGACCTGGCTCCTTGACTTTGAACAGAAGACACAGCAGGAAGAGGCGTGCTGCCTCCTGGCTCCTGGAGCCCGGCCCCTGCCTGAGGGCCAGGACTTGCTTCCTGCAGCCCAGTCTTCTTGCCCGGTGCCCCGCACTGCCCTGACGCCTGGAGGAGAGCCAGATTTGGTCACCCAGTTTGTGCAGAGGAAGGAGGAGAGGGAGCTGGAAGAGCAAGTGAAGGCAAGTTTGGGTGGGATCCTGGGGTTGGTGCAGTGGCCTCTGTCCTCCCCCAGTCACCTGGTGGGTTCTCCTTGGCAATGGCCTGAGGCAGCAGAAGGAGGGGCTGCTGCAGCCCCCATGCTCTGGAGGCCGGTAGGGGTCCCCTTAGGAGTCTCCTCAAGGCTGTGTTCCTCAGGAGGAGCAGAGCAGAAGGAGGAAACCAGAGGAGTGGCCACAGTGCACAGTTTAAGTGCGCAGCCCAACGCCGGGTGGGTGCCCTCCTGTCCTGCCCCTGCCACACTGCTGGAGACCCCGTCAGGCTGTCAGGCCTCAGGCTGCTCTCTGCATCCCCACCAACTGTGTCCTCCTCATGCAGAGCTGGGCAACTTAGTGGCAAAGAACGGAGTCCAGGACTGGGTTCCTCTCAGACAGGCAGCGAGACTGTGTCCAAGGTCCATGGGAGGATGTCCTTGGTGACAGCCAGGTTGAGGCTGAGGCCATCAGATCCCCAGGCCTCAGTTCCAAGGTTTCTTCTCTCCATGCTGCTCTGCAGAGTCAGGAAGAGGAGGAGACCAAGGCGCTCCTCCATCTCAGTAGGGAGCTGCTGGCCGAGGGGTCAGGCACAGAGCTGCTGGAGCCTGAGGAAGAAGATCTGGTGCTGGGGGAGTATACAAATGACAAGGAGAGGACGGCAGCCATTGGGTGAGATTGCAGCTGTTATATTCCCTGTGTCCCCACTCGTGGCCAGGAGTGGACTCCCAAAGGCAGCTCTTCCCTCCTGGGGTTCCCTGCCAGGTCTCTTCCTACTCCCCTGCTTCCTACTCCTGCAGCTCCATGACCAGGGGCAGTTTGCCCCAGCCCTGTTCACCTCTGGTCCCACTATAACTCTTCTAGCACTAGGCTTGTCATCTGTCCTGTGACTTTTGAGTATGAGCCTCTGGGTTGTGACTTGAGCTTAGGGACCTGAGCCCTTTCCCCTTCCTCCCCACAATCCTGGGCCACACAGACCTGAGCAGTAGGCAGGCGGGGCTGGAGCTTGCAGGGGTAGGCAGCATCCCTGTGGTTGTAGGGTGCCTCACTGCAGGGTGAAGTCTGCCGGGTCTCAGTTCTGATCCCCCACAGCTCAGTAAGTGTCCAGGAACAGAGCTGTCCCTCGCCTAGCTGAGTTGCTGAGGGGAGACTGTGGCGTATTCTGTCCCTTAGGGTGGACGAGGATGAGAACGAGGAGGACCTGGAAGAGGAGCATGTCACAAAGGTGGGATGTGTGGCCCAGGGCCTTCTATGTGGGGCTGACCCTGGCATGCACAGCTTTTCTCTCTTGCTGTCCTCAATCTGAAGTCCCAGAGGAGAGGGAGCGTCTGCCTTAGCCTCTGTCTCACACTTAGGGTGATGCACGGGAGCGCCCTCCTACATTGTCCCCAGGAGGTGAGGGAGGGACATGACCATCTCAAGCCTCCGAGCCCTATGCTCCAGCAGGGTCAGAGGTGAGACCTGGCTCGTCTCGCCTGAGTGGCCTTCCTTGGTGCCATCTGATGTGGATGACACTGCCTCCTTAGGGGCCTGCATTTGCAGTCACTGTACCTGTTCCCGCAGGCTCCAGGCCTCCATGCTCCGAGAGCACCTGGGGCCGTTCTGTCCCCTCTTTGACTTCCCCTTTCCTCTGGGCAGATTTACTACTGCATCCGGACACACTCCCAGCTGGCCCAGTTTGTGCAGGAAGTTCAGAAGAGCCCCTTTGGCAAGGACACCAGGCTGGTGACCAGCGTCACCTGGCAGGTGAGTAGCGCCAGGCGTCCTGGCCCTGATGCTCTCCTGTCCCACCCCACACCTATGTCTCCCAGTCCAGGGTCCCGGATTGGACAGACAGTGGGGCTGAGGTGACTAAGCTGTGGGCACAGCCCGCACCTTGCCTGCTACTCCTAGAAAGGAGGAGTGGTGGCTCCTTGTCCCTCACCACCCTTTTCTTCACCTTGTCCTCTCGGCTTTAGAACCTTTGTGTGAACGAAGATGTGAGAAGCTTGGGTACTGTGTAGCTGATCAATGACTGCTGCATGGAAATGCAGAGAAGCCCGAATGGTAGGAGCTGGTACCAGTGAGGCCATGGCCACACTGGGGCAGGGAGAAGAGGGAAGGCTCGGGAGGGGCCAGGGGCCTAGAACAGGGGCCCAGGAGCCCAAGTCCAGACCGTGGGGTCCTGAAGGCAAAGCCAGCTTGGCCCTCTCCTGAGAAGGGAAGACGCCTGGTCCCTGGCCTGGAGGTGGATTTACAGGCAGTTTATGGAGAACAGAAAGTAGCCTCAGATGATGCATCTGACGTGTTAGCAGATGACACCGCCGAGGCAGAACTTGGAGGGTCCTTTAGACCCCCTCAGGGGAAAGCAGGGGTACCTCCATGTCCCCGAGCCTCTCCTGGTCACTGAGACATGTGTGGTCCTTCCTGTCTTTGCTTCTGGGCCTGTGCTGCCCACAGAGAATAAGAACAGAGCTGAGGCAGATAAGCCCAAGAGAAGACCGAAGGAGGGCTGGACCACCTGCCCCTTCTACAAACGGGGGGAGACACAGCTGCTTCGGGATGAGATCCTGGTGGCAGTGAGGGACATGGAGCAGCTGGTGGTCCTCGGGAAGGAGGCCCGGGCCTGCCCCTATTATGGGAGCTGGCTCACTGTCCCTGCGGCCCAGGTGAGCACGTGGTCCTGCAAGGGCCCCTGCCCTGTAGTCAGCTATGCTGTCCCATTCTAATGGGTCCATGGGCAGGACCCATCAGCACGGGACTCTGCACTGGGTGGTTGCATACAGAGAAACTGAGGCACACTCCTCCACCCTGCCGTAGTCTCCTGCCTGACCCTGACCCTGCATGGGTGAGGTGAGTGTAAACAGTGCTGGACCTGCTGATGGACACATTGGAGGAGGCCAGGTGATCAGGGTCCTGAAGTCAGCCCCTCCCTCGTGGTGTCCCTCTGAGGTGACTGCGTGCTGCATGTGACATTCAGTGACTGCCCCGGGTGGTCACTGTGTGAGCTGTGGTGCTCACGTCTGAACCAGGACCTTATGCTTCCCAGGTTCTGAGTATTTCTCATTGTTCATCACTCAAGATTGAACCCAGGCCTTTGCCCTGAGCTGCATCACCCCTTCTCTTTTTTTTGTTAGAATTTTTTTGAGACAGGGTCTGATCACATTGTTAAGATACACAGGCTGAGCCAGAACTTGCCATCCTGTCTCATCCTCCCAAGGTGCTGGGATGACACATGCACCATCACGCCTTCCTTGGAAAATTTTTATAACAAAAATTTACCTAAAATTGACAGAGTGCTTTAGTTTTGCTTACCGCCCTCCACTCCTCTGCCCTCAGCTGAGGCAGAGTTTGTCGAGCTGCAGATAAGGAAACTGTCTCCGAGGTTACACAGCTGCACAGCGGAGAGGCAGCAGCCCTAGCACTGGAGATCATTGTTGGTTCCTGGGCCTCAGAGCCACCTGAGGGCTTAGGGGAGGTCAGCATCAGGGATTCCCCAGTTCCTTCTTATCCTTGGTCCACTCCAAGCCTGCTATGTCCATACTTCTGAGATGGGCTGCGGCTGCAGTCACAGGTCTACGTGGTCACTTTCTCTCTGAATTTCCCTACACATGGATGGTCTGGGTAGGAAACAACACAGCTCCATCAGGACCGAGGTGGGAGGGTAGGTTCCCCACAGGACCAGGCCAGCCACCACCCCAGCAGCCCACTCTGCCCTCCAGCTGGTGGTGCTGCCCTACCTGATGCTGTTGCATGCGGCCACGCGACAGGCTTCGGGCATCTGGCTGCAGGGCCAGGTCGTCATCATCGACAACTTGATCGACACCATCACAGACGTACACAGCAAGGAGGTCAGCGGGTCCCAGGTGGGTTGACAAGCACGGGGCTGCAGGCTGAGGCCCCAGTCCTTGATTCTTCCGGGGACAGCGCTTGGTAGAGCTGCACAGTCCCGATGTCCGGCTAGGATGGGCCAGAGAGCAGCGGGAGTCTCAGGTTGCTGGGTCTTGTTATTCTTCGTATTGCTTAGGGGGATTTAATTGGGGTGCACTCGGATCCCCAGGAGTTTCTCTCTGTAAACTGTCACATCCGTGTGCTGCCTCTACCCTCCATACTGACCCCCTTCTGGGTGGAGGGGCCAGATCATGGCTGACTCTGGGAGCCTGGGCACTCGGGCAAGGCTAGCATCTGAGGTCACACAGTACAGCACCCAAGGTCACAGTGCAGGGATAGTGAGCTGGGAGGGGACTGCTGGCTTCCACCAGCGGAGCAGGATCTGAGATACTTTAGGCTGGGGTGTGACAGTTACCATGGGAAACACCAGGTCTTTCCTTGTCCAGGGAAAACCAGCAGGGAGCTTCCTTCCCTGAGGGTTTCAGCCTCTCATGTTGTCCAGCCTGGAAGCAGCTGTACACAAAGCAGAGCTTCCTGTGCTCTCAGCTCTGTCAGTCCCAGGGCCACAGACCCACATGCCATGGGTTCCTGGCTCCTGCTCCCTATGCCCATGACAGCGCCTGTGAGTCCTGAGCTGGTGTTTTCTGCGTGTGGTGTCAGTTTTCCCTGGCCCAGCTCTCAGCCGCTTGTCCAGAGCCTGGTCTGACCTCAGCCTGTGCTCCGTGCTCTGTCCCCAGCTCTGCCAGGCCCACTCCCAGTTGCTGCAGTACATGGAGCAATACAGGTGGGACATGGCCCCAGGGTGGGAGGGAAGGTTCTGGTCCTGTTGGCCTGGAGGGTGTGTGCGACCAACTTCCCGTCCTGGTCCTGTGTCCACAGTGGGTGCCCCACTGGGCCCTGCCTGCTTGGGACAGGACTTCTGGCTCTTGGGGGCCAGCCTGTCTTCTTCCTGGGGTGGTGATAATTTGTGACCTGGCCGGGTAGCAGGGAGCTGTAGGGAGCCCCCACTCAAGGCCTGCAGGTTTCTCCACAGGAAGCGTCTGGAGGCCAAGAATCTGATGTACATCAAGCAGATCCTGTATTTGCTGGAGCAGTTTGTGGCCATGCTGGGAGGTAGGCAGGCACTGCCCCAGTCCCCACCTTTTCCTTGGCTGCCAGCAAGGACCCCAAAATGTCCCACAAGTATTAGTTGTGTCTCGATCATTGATTTTCCAGATTCTCATTCCTTCTGCTGAGTCCAACAGTCAAACCTCACAGCCTAGTGCATTTGCCCTAATTCTGTGCTCTTTCATTTTTTTCTTTTTGGTACCAGGAATCTTGCACTTGCCAGGCAGGTGCTGGGCCTTGGCGCCTCTGTGCCATTCCCCCCACCACACTCTTCTCCACACTTGATGCAATGCGTGGCATTCTGTGAAGGGGTTGTAGTCTGGCAGCGTATATGCGGTGCCCTGCATGGCCTCAGTTTCATTTGTCCCGTGACGGGAGCAGTCTGTTTGAACCCAGGTTCACAGATGAGTCACTGAGTGGAGACCGGGTGCTTCTCATGTGACTACGATGTGGACCCCTGGCCTATCTGTGTCTGTGCCCGCAAAGGTGGGGAGCTGGTGGGGATCTGCAGAAGGATCTTAACCCAATGGGTTCCCTGCTTCCTCTGCCTTGACCACTGCAGCCCACCACCCTGGCAGCCATCTGCTCCTTGTGCTACGTGTGGTGGGGGCCGTCTGCCCTGTTCAGGAGGAGGCCCGAAAAGAAAGAAACAGGTTCCATGTGCATTGGGCCCGTGAGGCAGCCGGAACCTCTGCCCTCTCAGCAGGTTCTCTGCCTGCCGTAAACGACCAAAAGCAAAGCAGCCGCTGGAGCCTGCTGCGATGGGAAGGCTTAGTCCTGTGAGCAGTGTGGAGATGAGAAGGCAGAAGTGGGGGGGTGGGCAGCTCCACTTTGACCTGTTTATGTCTCTTTCTCAGGGAATATTAAGCAGAACCCCAACACACAGAGCCTCTCAAAGACAGGTGAGGAGTTGCTCGGCAACCTGGGTGATCTGAGCTTCTCTGTCCCTGTGACACCGGAAGCCGGGCTCCAGTGTAAGCTCCCAAGCCCTTCTCCTATCTCCTCTCAGGGACTGAGCTGAAGATCATCAACGACTTCCTCTTTCAGAGCCAGGTGGACAACATCAACCTGTTCAAGGTAGAGCTGTTGCCTTTCAATCTGGGCCCATCATGTGTCCTTCTTGGCGCCAGCTATGGGCGCTGATGCTTTCAGATTACAGAAGGAATAAAAAGCAGAGACCCTGTCACGAGGCAGTCTGAGGACCTGAAACACAAATGCAGGAAATTATTAGCCCCTTAAAACACTGTATACCTAGGAAGTGGGGGCTACACAACAGCATCCTGAGATATGGGCAGAACAGTCCCCACAGCCAGTGGCCGGGCTGCACAGGGTCCATTACCAACTAACCTTTGCTCCCATAATAGCAGGGCCGCACCTGCTTTTTTGCCTTTGCTTATAATGTTTTTTTAATCTGATTCTTAGCTCCTCAGGGTCCAGCTCAGCTGCAATCACTGGGAAGGAAAGCAGGGGACAGACCATCTAGGGAGCAATCAGAGCCATGGGACAGTTATGAGGAGGCCACTGGGGTGGTGCTGTGCTGGTGGGCAGAGATGGAGGAGGAAAGAAGAGGGGCAGGGTGGGTGTGGAGCTGAGCTCCAAGCTTGTTTTTTTTTTTTTTTTGTCTTTTTCATTTTTATCGGTACCAGGAATCGAACTCACGACTGCCTGCTTGCAAGGCAGATGCTTATGTCGCTGAGCTAAATCCCCAGCCCCTCCAGGCTTGTTTTGTTTTGCTTTGCTTTGCTTTGTTTTGTTTTGAGACAGAGTCTTGCTGTGCAGTTTAGGCTGGCCTTGAGCTCACTTTGTAGCCCAGGCTGGTCTCAAACTTGCAGCAGTCCTCCTACCTCAGCCTCTGGAGTACTGGGATTACAGGTGTGCACCACCACACCTCGCAGGCTGCTTTCTAAAGTGCATGTTGCAGCCGCCGCCACCTCATGGCCATCTCTGTCTCACGTTTGCAGGTGCAGCAGTACTTCGAGAAGAGCAAGGTCAGCAGGAAGGTATGGCCCCACATTGGCCCTCACTGCCTGGTGTCCTGCCTCCGGGGTCCCTGCTGGTCTCTGTCCCTTATCCTCAGGCTGGCGGGGGGGTGGGGTATGTGGGCTGCAGCCCCTGGAGTCCTTGTGTTACACCACCACCCTCTCTCCTCCTCCAGCTCTGTGGCTTCACGGAACGCTGTGGTGCCATCCTCTCACTGTCCTCAGAGTAGTCCAGACTGGCAGGGCTCCAGCAATTCCTGCAGAGCCTGCTCCCGGGGGTGACCGAAAGTGAGTCTCAGGGCAGGAAGATGAGCTGGGCTGCAGGCCTGGGTGGTGCTGGACCTGACCTCACTCGGGTCCCGTCCTCTGTCCTCCCTCCGCCTATGCAGCTCCCACCGCCGACCCAGAGGAGGCTGAGGTTGAGGCTATGTGCGCCGCTTCCCCACTGATGCACATGAAGGCTTCCTCGCAGCCCTCACCACTGCCAACCAGGATGGCAGAGTCAATCTGAGCCGCCAAGGTACTGAGCAGCCTGGCTGGGCTGCTTCCTGAGAGAGGGCCGGGCTGCAGCAGGGAGCTGCACCGGGGGCTCTGGGCACATCCCAGCCTTACCCGGTTTGGCAATGGCCAGGGCAGGCAGTGGCCCTAAGGGCAAAAAGTCATCTTCTGGCTGTGTAAGCTGGATTGATTTCTCCCTTTGCACTTGGCTATGCTTTGCCTCTGTGTGTGTGTGTGTGTGTGTGTGTGTGTGTGTGTGTGTGTGTGTGTGAGACGCCTGTGCTGTCTGCCTTGGCACTTGTCCTGGACGGAACGCAAGGCTGGACTCCCTATTCTCTGCCGGCCCATATGTGTCCTGCAGGGCACCCGGGAGCCCTGTGCTCAGGCGGGGCCCACCCCTCTGTCTGTCCCCCTTTCAGGCAGCCTCAGCCAGAGCAGCCTCAAATTCTTGCTCCTGAATCCAGCTGTGTAGTTTGCCCAGGTGGTGAAAGAATGCTGGGCAGTGGTCATTGCAGGGGGCACCATGCAGCCGGTAAGGACCTCAGCCCCCATCTCCTGGTGCTGGGATGGCTCAGGGGAAGGAAGCAGCCTCAGTCAGGTGTCCTCCCTGTCCCGCTGGTCCCAACCTAAAAGAGGTGATGCGCAGGCCCAGCAGTGTCCCCTGGGTAGCACTACTGAGGCCTCACAAAGCCTTTGTGTATCTCAGATCTTTGGTGCCTCCCTGAGGTCCCTTCCTGCCCCACCAGGGAGGTGCTCACCTTCTGAGGCTAGTGTAAAGCAGATGTTTTGGGTTTCACCATAGGAAGCAGAGAGGAGCTGTGGGGGAGAAGCAGGTCTTCATTTCACACTCAGAGATGAACCATGGTGTGTGGCACGGCAGTGCCTTTCTGGGGTTAAGTTTCACAGGTGTGTATGCATCTTAAAAACAACAGAATCACCTGTATGTGCCGTTACATTTCACTTTTGCACTCAGAAACCAGTAGCATGTATATCTTTCGTGGTCAGCGGGGATACATTTACTCCCCTATCTCAGTTATTTTTTGCTTATAGCTGAGACACAATTCCCAAGTTAAAAAGGAGAGAGGTTTCCTTGGCTCACAGTTTGTAGAGGTTTCGGTCCAAGGCACAGTTTGTAGAGGCTGGGTCCAAGGCAGAGTAGCAAGCCAGAAGAAAAGCCATTCACGGCAAGAAGCCTCATTTGGGTCATAGGTTTTTTTTCAGAGGTGGCGGAAAGTAGGTGTGCAATGCTGAGATTAAGGATGCTGGGATTAGGGTGGGTGATTGTGGGCTGGTCCACTAATCGGAGTGGCAACACCCTTATCCCAGCAGTCTAGACTAAGATAAAGGGGGCAGAAAGAGGGTTGTCTCCCCTTCTTGTTGCTTTTCTATCTTCTGCTGCAATGAACCATTAACCCCTCTGCTGTGTGCTGCCCTGCCTTGAAGCCAGATGATTATGGACTGAAACCTCTACAAATTATAAGCTAGATAAATGTTTCCCCCTTTAATTTTGGGCATCAGGTATTTTGTCTCAGCAACTAGAAAAGTAACTAAGACATGATAAAAGCTAAGGAAGAACTAAGAGTGGTGATGCAAATCTGTAATCTCAGTATTAAGGCAGAAGGATCTCGAGTTTACAGCCTGGGCTGTACAGCAAATTCCAGGCCAGCCTGGATTACATAGCAAGACCCTGTCCCTGAAACCAACCAACCAACAACCAACCAAGAATTCAGTCAATCAATAACCAACAGAAAACCAAACAAACAAAAGAAGAGGTGATTTTCAAAGTAGAATGAATGCGCATATGCATGAAAGGCTAAGTTGCAAAGTAATATAATGAAAAAATATTCAGTAAATTTGACAGTACTGTTTTGGTATGATAGTGACAAATGTGAAATTTCAGTAAGCAGGCAGATAAGTCAGAGGTATGGAATTGGAAACATTTTGTTTAGAAGTTTCTTTTAAAATAGTTTGCTTAGTGACAGGAAATAAAGAGGCAGCATCTAAATAGTTATATGTAGGATCATATTTTCAAAGAAGGATAGGAAAGTTAAGGTGAAAATCTCAGTTGAAGGTGAGGTTGAAAAAGATTCAAGATAGATGATGTTTTATTGACAAAATTCTTGAGTCAGCATACAGTCTGAAGGAATAAATTTGGGTGAAAAGAGTATCTCCTTTCCAATGGGTGGAGGAAGAATGTGTGAAGATTCTGACACATGTATTTTTTTTTTTTTTTTGGCTTTTTTGAGGTAGTATTTCTTTGTGTGGTTCAGGCTTGCCTTTACCTCTCTTTGTAGCCCAGGCTAGCCTCAAAGTCACAGAGATCCTTCTGTCTCAGCCTCCTGAGTGCTGGGATTACAGGTGTGCACCACCATGCCCAGCTTTGGGATTTTTTTTTACTCTGATACATTTTTAAGTGATGGGGAAGAAAATGTCAATTGTCCTTACCTGGTAAATTTTGTTTTCTCAGTGAAAGACAAGATCATGTGCTAAGCATGAGGGGGAGATTATAGATGGCAGAAGTTTGGAATATTCACATGGGAAAGGGAGACATTTGCTTGGAAACAGCATTGCCAGGCAGCACAGAGAGCTGAGGGAGGCTGAGGGGTGATACATTTTAGTGACTTTAGTCTGTGCTACTGGTGAGTTTTAGCAGCAGCCCACTTTGGGCCAGTTGTAGTGAGAGGTAAGCCAAATGATAGGAATGATGGAGAATGGGAATTTTCAGGGTAGTTTTGGAGGAAGAAAAATGTTGTAAAAAAATCAGAGGGGAGAGAATTAGACCAGAAACCCAAGTAATAGGGTCCCTGAGAGAGGAGCATGTTTGATAGGAAAATATTTGGGAGTAGTAGTGTAGGACATAAAATAAAATATCATAGTGAATATTTTCGAATATATCCTATTTCTTTATAGTAGAGTTCTAAAAGTGAAACACATAGGCCAGAATACTGTACATGCCAAATTTTTTAAAAAATTTTATTTAAAAAGAAAAAGAGAAAAAACAAAACAAAACAAAGCGGTGTAAGGTACAAGTAATACAGAACAACAACAACAACAAAAAAAAAAACAGTAAGAAATCACCAGTTAATAGATTACATATTATCATCTTAGAGATAGTTGCTCAAGTCACACTATCAAAGAATACAAAGTGAACATTCAAACAGTGAGACTGCAAACAGTTGTGTTCAATGATCCAACCAAAAACATTAATATGGTCAGCTATTTAACACCCCTAAACACACTTGCTGTTGTATCTTTCGGAGCACTTTTTTTCCTTCTCTTTTTTACAACAAAATTTACACATTTTGGGTCTTATCCTTAGGTCTTATTACGTTTTTTGGGGGAGAGAATAAAGTCAAATATGGCAAAACAAAGCTGTCACTCAAAACCAAAGATACACATAGCACATGATGTAAAAACAGAGTAGAGGGTTATCAACAATGGTTACCATAATGCCTCTTGCTTTCTTAAAAAGAATCGTCTATCTCATTAGGTATTATAAAGTTGAACAAAACAGTAGAGAACAAGACCAATAAAACCTAAACCTTGTAAACATTACAGGACTTCCAAAGAAGATAATAGTCAAACCAGAATGTGCATCATAGTGAATCTTATTGCCTTCAAAGTAGTTGCCTATACCCTCAAACTTGATACTATCATACAGAACGGAACAGAGTCTAATGAGTCAAAACAAGATAATGGGAGTATTACAGGACTTCAAATCAAGTTAATAGTATACTATAACTATAGTATATCCTGCTAATTTTTTTGATTTTTCCCCTTAATTAAAAAAAATCACAAAAAATAACTAAATAATTTTTTAATGAATAAGGGAGAGATTGAGATAAAAGAGGACATAACAACATAACAATACAGGTCAAAGCATGACAGTTTCAGCAACCTAGCGCTTCACTACCAAATAACATCATTTAATAGTAGTTACCATAGTGTCTTTTTTGAAATATTTGAATATAACGTCATATACTATAGCTTCAAACATATCAAGTCAGTGTAAAACCATTCAAGTGGATGAAAGCATTGTAGGGTATTTAGAACTAGATAACAGAAAATGAACAATGGTTTCTAAATTATCTCTTTGCCTATAACAATTTTTGTTTATACTATCACATATAATAAAATCCAGCAAGGTACATCATGATAAAACCAAAGGAGACAGAAGAGCCATAGTTTGGTGGGGCTTCAAAACAAGATGATAGTAAATCAGCACTAGCTATTACGATGACTTATTTTCTTCAAAATAGCTGTTCATTTCATCACAAGCAATAATATCAAGTAGCCCAGAATAAAGCCATTCCAATTAATAAGTGAAAACTATATAAGGCTTCAAGGCCACATAATGGGGAATCATGATTACCACACACTTTTATATATTTGACTTATTACTTACATTAGGGGAACTATTCGGTATTCACACAAGTGAGATTGATTTATTTCACTTAAGAGTATGGTCTCAAGCTGCGCCCATTTATTGATGAATATCTCAATGTGATCCTTCTTTATAGCTGAGTAATACTTCATTGTATAGAAATACCACAACTTTTTTATCCATTCCTCAGTTGATGGACACTTGGGTTGTTTCCAAGATCAGGTGATTACAAATTGTGCTGCTCATATATCACTGTGGTATGATGCTTTCTGTTCTTCTGGGAATATGCCTAGAAGTGAAACAGCTGGAACAAATGGGACTTCCAATCCCAGCTTTTTGAGAAATCTCCAGACTGACCTCCACAAAGGTTGTACCAGTCTACACTCCCACCAACAGTGTAGGAGAGTTCCTTTTCCCCCACAGCCTCTCCAGAATTTGTTGTTGTTGGTTTTCTTGATGCTGGCCATTCTTTCAGGAGTGAGATGGAATCTCAGTGCGGTTTTAATTTGCATTTCCCTAATGACCAATGATGATGAACATTTTTTCATGTATTTATTTGCCATTTGTATTTCTTCATTTGAGAAGTGTGTATTCATCTCAGATGTCCAGTTTTGGATTGGATCTTTGAATTTTGGGGGTCTGAGTTTTTTTAATTCTTTATATGTTTTAGACAAAAGTCCCTTGTCTGAGGGAGAGTTCACTAAGATCTTTTCCCAGTTTGTGGGTTTTCTTTTCACTATGCTGGAGATTTCTTTTGACATGCAGAAACTTTTTAATAAGAAGTGGTCCCAGTTATTGATTCTGGGAAGTATTTCCCGTGTAGTTTGAGTCCTGTTCATGAATTCTCCACCTACCCCTCTGTCTTCAAGGTTTCTACCCAACCTGTCTTACAATAGATTTAGTGTTTCTGTTTTAATATTCAGATCTTTGATCCATTTAGATTTTAATTTAGTACATGGTGATATTCTGGGAAGTATTTCCCGTGTAGTTTGAGTCCTGTTCATGAATTCTCCACCTACCCCTCTGTCTTCAAGGTTTCTACCCAACCTGTCTTACAATAGATTTAGTGTTTCTGTTTTAATATTCAGATCTTTGATCTATTTAGATTTTAATTTAGTACATGGTGATAGACATTGGTCTAGCTTTAGCTTTTGGCAAATGGAGAGCCAGTTTTTCCAACACTATTTATTAAAGAGACTGTCATTCTTCCAGTGAACCTGCTTGGCTCCTTTATCAAAGATAAGGTGGTTGAGTGTGTTTGTAGTTGTGGTTGTATATTCTAATCTATTCCATTGATCTTCAGCTCTGTTTTGATTCCAGTACCATGTTGATTTTACTACTATTGCTTTGTAGTATAACTTCAAGTCAGGGATTGTGATGCCTCCTGCCTTGCCTTTGCTGCTTAGAATTGCCTTTGCTATTCTAGGTCTCTTCTAGTTCCAGATGAATTTTAGGAGTGATTTCTTTAGATTTATAAGGTATGTTGATGATATTTTTATTCGGATTGCATTGAATCTGTATAACAGTTTTAGAAGAATGGCCATTTTCACAATGTCTCTTCTTCCTATCCATGAGCAAGGGATGTCTTTCCATTTTCTGAGATCATCTTCAATTTCTTTTTTCAGTGTATTATAATTTTCCCTGTATAGGTCTTTCACTTCTTTCATAAGAGTAATTCCTAAATTATTTCATTTTTTTGCTTACTAGTGTGAAGAGTGTGGTTTCTCTTATTTCCCTGTCTGTGATTTTGTTGTTAGTGTATAGGAATGCTATTGATTTCTGAGTATTGATTTTGTATCCAGGTACATTACTGAATTTATTTTTTATATCTAAGATTCTTTCAATGGAGTTTAGGGGGTCTTCTATGTAAAGTATCATGTCATCTGCAAACGATATTTTAACTTCTTCTTTTCCTATCTTTACCCCTTTTATTTCTCTCTCTTGTCTGATATCTCTGGCTAGTACTTCCAGTACTATATTAAATAGGAGTGGTGATAAAGGACATCCTTGTCTTGTGCCTGATTTTAAAGTAAAGGCTTTCAATTTTTGGCCATTTGTATGATGCTGGCTGTTGGTTTGTCATAGATGGCCTTTATTATATTGAGGTAAAGACCATCTATTCCAATTTTCTGTAAAGTTCTTATCATGAATGAATGTTGGACCTTATCGAAGACTTTTTCTGCATCTATAGAAATGATCATGTGATTCTTTTGGCTTTATTGATATGGTGGATTACATTTATTGATTTACGTATGTTGCACCATTCCTGCATTCCTGGGATGAATCCCACTTGGTCATGGTGTGTAATTTTCTTGATGGTTTACTGCATCCTATTTGACAATATTTTATTGAGGATTTTTGCATCTGTGTTCATTAGGGAGATTGGTCTGTAATTCTCTTTTTTAGTTGGATCTTTCTCAGGTTTTGGTACTAGAGTAATATTTGCTTCCAGGAATGACTTAGGAAGGATGGCTTTCAATTTCATTGAATAGTTTGAGGAGTGTCGGCATTAGGTCTTCTTTGTATTTCTTGTAGAATTCTGGCGTGAATCCATCTGGGCCTGGGCTCTTCTTTGTAGGTGAGGACTTAATTACATTTTCAATTTCATTAACAGAGATTGGGTTATTCAACAGTCTTACATCCTCTTGATCTAGTTTGGTACTTCGTATGTTTCTAAGAATCTGTCTATTTCTTCTGTGTTATCAAACCTTTGAGAGTAGAGGTTTTTGAAATAGGTGTTGATGATCTTCTGTATTTCTATTGGGTCTGTAGTGATTTCACCTTTTTCATTTCTTATTGTATGAATTTGAGCTTTTTCTTCCCTTTTTTAAATAAGGTTGGCTAGGAGCTTATTGATTTTATTTATTCTTTCAAAGAACCAAGTCTTTGATCCGTTGATTCTTTGGATTGTTTTCTTAGTCTCTATTGCATTGATTTCTTCTCTGATTTTTATAATTTCCTCTCTTCTTTTGGCTTTGGGCTTGATTGCGCTTCTTTTTCTAGCTGTTTGAGGTGTAGCATCAAGTTACTTACTTGTATTCGTTCAGATTTCCTGATGTGGGAACTCAGTGCAACAAATTTTCCTCTGAGGACGGCTTTCATTGCATCCCACAGATTCTGGTAAGTTGTATCTGCATTTTCATTTTCTTTTAGGTATTGTTTAATTTCTTCTGTGACCCATTGATTACTCAAGAGTGTGTTACTCAATTTCCATGTGTTTGTGGGATTTTTGCAGCATCTTTTATCATTAATTTCTAATTTCAGAGCGCTATGATCCGATAACGTGCAAGGGATGATTTCAACTCTTTTGCATTTGTTTAAATATGTTCTGTGAGCTAATATATGGTCTATTTAGAGAATGATCCATGTACTGCTGAGAAGAATGTGTATTCTGATGTTGTTGGGCGGAACATTCTGTATATGTGTATCAAATCCATTTTTTTGCAGGTGTGATTCAGTTCTGTTATTTTTTGCTCATTTTCTGTGTGGTTGATATGTCCCGTGGTGTCAATGGTGTATTAAGGTCCTGTTACAATTGTGTTACTGATAATTTGAGTTTTCATTTCTGTTAATAGTTGTTTTATATAACTGGGTGCTCTGGAGTTTGGTGCATATATATTTAAGATAGTTATCTCTTCCTCTTGGAGTTTTCCCCTAACGAGTATGTAGTGACCTTCTTTGTCCTTTGTGATCATTGTTGGTTTAAAGTTCACATTGTCTGCAAACAGAATGGCTACTGCTGCTTTTTTTGGGATTCGTGCTGCATGAAGTATTGTTTTCCATCCTTTGACTTTCAGTCTGTGAGTATCCTTCTTGGTTAGATGGGTTTCCTGTAAACAGCATATGTTTGGATTTTGTTTCTGGTTCCATTTTGCTAGTCTGTTTCTTTCGATTGGTGCATTGAGACCATTTGCATTAATGGTTATTACTGTTAAATGCTGGTTTATTGTTGACATGTTATCTCTCTGCTGTTGCATCTTTATCTTTCTGTTCTGTTTAATTATCTGCTTTGCTTAGTGGTTTTTTTCCTTTGTGTATGTAAACTGTCTCTCAATATTTTTTGCAGGGTTGGTTTGATGTTCATGAAGTTCTTCAGCTGTTCTTTGTCATGGAAGTATCATATTCACCATCAATTTTGAATGATAGTTTTGCAGGATACATCAGTCTAGGTTGGAAATCATTTTGCTTTAGGATCTGGAATACTTCACTCCATGCTCGTCTTGACTGTATTGTTTGTGCTGAGAAGTCTCCTGTGACTCTGATAGGTTTTCCTTTATAAGTGATCTGTCATTTCTCTCTGACAGCTTTTAATAATCTATTCTTGTGTTGGATTTCTGGGATGGTGATTATTATATGTCTGGGTGTAGTTTTATTTTGCTTATGACTATTTGGAGTTCTATATGCTTCACTGATCCTGATGCCAGTTTCTGATCTCATGCTTGTGAAATTTCCAGCTATTACTTCTCTAAATAACCTCTTGACATCCTTTATGTTGTCTCCTTCTTTTTCATTAATCCCTATCTATCTTATGTTATTTTTCTTTGCATCATCTTGCAGTTGTTGAATTGTTGATTCCTGATTCCTTGTTATTTTTAAAAGATCTTTCCTTTCCTGTTCACTAGCTGCAATCCTGTCTTCAAGGTCTGAAATTGTATCTTCACTTTCATTGAGGCGGTTTTTACAACTTTCAGTGGAGTTTTTTATTTCCTGTATATCTCTGTGCATCTGCATTATGTATTCTGTTTGTTTCTTATATTGCTCATCTAGGGATTCTATCTTTTTGTTTAGTTCCTCCAATTTTTTTAGCTGTGCTTTCTTTAGATATATTCAGAATCTCTTTCATTTGTTTTATCATTTCTTTTTTTACCTGGGAGATTATTTCTAGTTTGAATTCCTTTAAAGCTTCCTGTAGTTGCTTGTTCATTTCAGTAGCTATTGTGTCCGATATTTGAGGTGAATTGCATATATTTTCTTCTATATACATCACTCCTAGGGTTTCTTGAGATGGGCTGGAGGTTTAATGTTGTAATTTGGTCTTTTGTTTTGTCATTTTCCTATATTTCTGTGTTTCAAGTGCTATTTGAAAGCTTCCTCAAGGTCTTTTGGAAATTCCCTTCTATGTTCGCAGCTCCTGAGACTCTGGTACCCCGTTACCCCAAGCCACTGGGCCTGTAGAACCAATGGCCCTCTTCTGCCTGTTTAGAACTCAGTAGTTCCAGATAAGCTGGGCTTCAGGAACACTGTGCGCCCACCTGCTTGTTGGAAGCTCCACAGTTCTCCAAGCGCAGCTGGGATGGGCAGGCAGACGTAGATGCCTCAAACCCACTTACCCACTTCACTGCACCCAGAAGCCTGGAGGTTCCCGAACAGTCTGGGTTTTGTGCAGAGTGCACTGAGCACTTACCACAGGCCACGGGGCCTCTGGAGCCTGCGATGCTCCCCTGCTTGCTGAGATATCCACAGTCCTCTAGACACATGAGGTGTCAGATGTAGGTGCCCCAGATCTGCCCAGCCCCTCCTCTGCACACCGATGGTGATGTACAGGAGTCCCAAATAGGCTGGGCTCCGGGGATAGCATGTCCCCGCCTACTTGTTGGAAGCTCCACAGTTCTCCCAGCACAGCCGGGATGGGTAGGCGATTGTAGATGCCTCAAACCCACTTAGCCACTTCACTGCACCCGGAAGCCTGGAGGGTCCTGAGCAGTCTAGGCTTTGGGCAGCGTGTGCTGAGCACTTACCACAGGCCGTGGGGCCTCCGGAACCTGCGATGCTCCCCTGCTTGTTGAGATATCAACAGCCCTCCAGACACACGGGGAGGCGGATGCAGGTGCCCCAGATCCGCCCAGCCCCTCCTCTGCACACCGATGGTGAGGTGCAGGAGTCCCAAATAGGCTGGGCCTGTACATCACAAATTAAAAAGATTTAATAGGTAATAGCAGGTTACTTTTCCAAACAAGTTGAAGTAACTTTATTCCTACTAGTAGTGCATGAATGTACCATTCTTCTTCCCTCCTCAGCTCCTTGGTTTCAATGTTTTAAATTTTGACCAATTATTATTATCCTTTTTGTTGGGTGATAATATGTCCTTATAGTTTTTTTTTTCCTGCTTTTGAGCAACTTCTCAAATAAACAAGGTATTTATATTTACTCTGATTTATGAATTCCTGTCCTTGTGCCATTTACATTGTCTGGTGTTTATTTTCCTTTTTCTTATCAATCTGTACCTTAGTGGTAATATACTATCTTTCATATATTAGTTATAATAACCTGTTTTTGGTCACATGAGTTGTAAATATTTTCTGCTGTGTTTTACAACATTATTGAAGGATTTCTTTCTTCCTATTTACTCATTTTAAATTTGAAAAAATTATGTACTTTTCAACAGTTTCATAATCACTTAAGAGAATAGCAAGTTACTACATTGTATATTGCTATCTTTAGAATAATTTATTCAGAGTACAAGACATAAACAAAAAAGATTCATCTCATATATGCCAGCTGGTTTTAGTTATGGTACTAATCTTAGTTTGTTGAAAAGAAAGATTTGTGTTACCAATTTCTTTTTGTAAAATTATGTTATTTTAAGCTTAACACAATTGCATAAATTTATTGTGTACAACATGATTTTTGAAACATATACTTTGTGGAACAGCAAAATTGAGATAGTAACATATTTTCTGCCATATTTATCATTGTTTCATGGTAAGGACACAAAACGTTTTTTTTTTTTTTTTTTGAGATAACATCTCACTATGCAATTCAGGCTGGCCTTGAACTCACTTTGTAGCTCAGGCTGATCTCAAACTTGCAATGATTCTTTTGCCTCAGCCTCCCACGTGCTGAGATTACAGGTGTGTGCTATCACACCCAGCTAAGGACAGAAAATCTTTCAGAAACTATTGATTGATTGCAGTATTGGGATTGAATCAGAGACTTCATATTGAGCCACATTCCCTGTCCTTTATTTGAGACATGGTCTCACTGTGTCACTAAATTGCCTACACTGTGCTGGAAGTTGTGCTCCTCTTGCCTCAGCATCTGAGAGTGTTGGGACCACAGATGTGTACCACCATGTCCTGCTCCTTTCATCGTTTTTTGAGTAAAGTCCATCATCATCATCATTATCATCATTATAGGAATAGGGACCAAACTCAGGGATTCACACATACTAAGCTGGTGCTCTACTACTAAGCTATAAATCCAACCCTAAAATACAGTGTTTTTTTTTCCCCATACTCAGTATTTTGCTCTTTTTTTAAAATTTTATTTTGAAAGTAAAAATGAAACAGCACAAGACAGAATAAAGCCAATCAAGACAATGCAGTGAAATTGGTACAGGATTTCACAGTAGAATACTGGGATAGTAGTAATATGTACTATGGTATTTAACTTCACAATAGTTGTCCAGTCAATTAGGTATAGCAAAATCAAACCAAAAATACATTATAAAACCAATTGAGAATACTGAATAGAGCAAAAGAAACTTAACAAAACAGTAAAAACAACCTATGCCTTCAAACAGAAGATAGAAGGAAATCTCCCATATTTGTTATACTGCATATGGTCATCCTCCAAGAGATGCTGAGACATCTATCCCCAGCAGCTATGGGGGGAGGGGGGAGGGGGAGGAAGGGTGCTTGATTTTCAGCGTAACAGTAGGCTCACCGGTAATAGTTCTCCTCCAGGCCCTCGCCGCAGGCGCTTACCAAGAGGGTGGGTGAATAAGCTGTCTGAGTCCCACCATGGCCGGATCTTGGGAGCACTGGTTCCTAAAATACAATGTTAACTATAATTACTGCACTATACCGTAGATCTCTTGAATTTATTTGTTTTACCTGAACTTTGTATCTTTTCACCAACAGCTCTCCAAATTCACTCACTTGCTACTTTTAAGTTTGAAGTCTCACCTTCCTATTGTGGATTCTGGTTTTTCATCGTGCATCCCCTACTTTGAATTATACATACATTTTTTTCCTGTAAGTTTATATTTGCTAACATTATTGTCTCAGTTACTTTTCTCTTACTGTTGAGACAAAATACCTGATGCCCAAAGTGAAGCAAAGGAAGGTTTATTTCTTACAGTTTTCTCAGCTGACTCCAAGGCAGGATGGCATGGTGGGGCAGCTGTTTATGGCCACTGCAAGCAGCAAGTGTGAACAGAGCAAAAGAGAGAAGACATGCCTTCTCCCTTCCCCTACACCATATGTTTGCTCCACTCCTGGGTGGGTGAAGCACTCACATCACCAGTCCCAGTGCTGGACAACAAACCAGTCACAAACACTTAGGTTCAGCCGTGTCCATGATTGCATGAGGCTTTGGGGGGCGGGTTGCATCCGAACACAAATCGTAACACTTATTTTACTTTACACTTTAACCCCTTAATTTATTTTTGCTATTGTGAGGACAAGTCTAACTTGGAATAGGAAAGATAATTGAGTTCTGGATCATCATTGTAAGGGAGAGATCAGGTTTGGAGATGATAGTGACAAGCAGAATCTCACAGAAGCCACTTTTGCAGGGGGATTATTCTTTGTGATAAAATACAATCATGTGCCACATAATGATATTTCAGTCAATAAGGGCCATGTACAGTGGTGGTTCAATAAGATTATAAAGGGAAGTTCTTATTTCATGGTAACACAATAGCAATTCTAAACTCAAATTGTAGCCAGGGCGTTCTTCAGTTTGTGGTCCCAGTAGGTGAACAAATCTACTACACTGCCTTACAAAGGACTGCGTAAAATGTCCCATATTTTCTTTTAGTACACTTACGATTTGTTGCTCAAATATTTCAGTCCTCTGGAATTTATTTTCTTGTGAAGTGTGATATAGATTCTAGCTTGACTTTTTCATCAATGATTGTTTACTTGTCAACTGTATCATTTGTTGAATAATCCAGCTTTTCTGAAATAATTTGAAATACTGCTATATCATATATTAAATTTCAGATAAGTATGTGGGCTTACTTATTGTTTTCTATTATGTTGCACTGAATAGTGTACTTACTAATGTGCCACTATTATACTGTATAAATTATACTTTATAGTATATTTTAACACCCAACTATCAAATATTTTTTCTTTATTAGAATCTTTATTATTTTTCTTGTTTTTTTAATGAATTCAACAGTTTATTTGGATAGTCCTTTATTAATGGAGGTTTAGATCATTTCTTCCTTTTGACCTTTACAAAAAGGTCTACATTATTTCTGAAGATACAATTTTGTACATTTTTAGTCATTGTGACTTTATGAAATTGCTCTGTATAAGCCTGCATATCTCACACCTACCAGGGATGTATGAGAGTTTAATTTTCTTTTCATTTTCAACTGTATGATTTTACATCAAATGTTTGATCTTTGTAATCAGATATGTAAAACATGGTTTCTTATGTGAATTTAATTTGCATTTCTCTTAGAATGCTATTGAGAATCTTTTCATATACTGAAATGCCGTTTTCTTTTCCGTGAATAAGCAGGTCATAAACTTTACTTAAAAAGAACTGGGTGATATTTTTCCTAGTGATTTAAAAATATTTTAAATGATAAATAAATTAACCATCTGAATGAGACAGAAGCTAAAAATATTTTGTCTTAGTATTTATTTTAACTTGTATATGGAGTGGTTGTTTTCTCTCTGAGAAATTTTAGATTTTGCAAGTCAGGTTTACTATCTTTTCTGTTGTGAATTTTGGATTTTATATTTAAATCTTCTATTGCTGTTCTTGTATTGCATAAATTTCCTGTATTTTATTTAAAAATTTTTTTTTGAGATGGGTCTCATTATGCAATTCAGGTTGACCTCAAACTTGCAGGGATCCTCTTGCCTCAACCTTCTGAGTGTTGGGATTACGGATGTGCAACATCACACCCAGCCAATCTAAAAATATTTTTAAAAAACATTTATAATTTCTTTTCTCTCTTTTTAAAAAGTATTTAAATCCTTTGGAATTTGTTTTGGTATGAACTCTGATATAGGTTTCAATGTACCTTTTCCATCAATAGTTATTTACTTGTCACTCTTATTGAAAAATTCACTTTTTCTGAACTAATTTGAAATGTTAGCTACATCATGTATTAAGTTCCCTGTGTGTGTTTATTTATTGATTTCTATTGTTTTCCATTAACTTATGTGCTTGTTCATGTACTAATATCAGATTGTTACTAATAGTTTGTAATATATTTTAACAATTTATAGAATAATCTAGCACTTTATTAGAATGTTCCTGGATTTTTTTGCTTAGTTTTTGTATGTATATTTATGAGTCAAATCAGTAGAGTTAACCTTAATTTATCATAATTTTTTCACAGACTAGGACTTGATATTTCTTTCTTTTATTTTACTTTTAGTATTCTTCAATACTATTTTAAAGTAGTTTATATAGATTTTACAATTTTTGGAGAATTTTTGAAGATGTCTTAGAAGAGTATATTGATGGGGATAATAGCCATTTACAGAGTTGTCATGGATATATATATATATGATATAAAATATATATATAAAAGATATATACATATTTATTTTTAATCAGCTGACACTTAATAGATGCTTATAACCTTTAAACCAGTAGAAAAGTTGAAAAATCAATGCAGGGAATGTTTCTCTTTAATTTACTTATTTATTTATTTATATTATTCTGAAAGTAGTAAAATACAACAGAACAAGACAGAATAAAGCCAATCAAGACAGTGCAGTGAAACTGGTACAGAACTTCACAGCAGGTTCAGAATAACAGTAATAGATACCATAGTATATCTTGTTATCTTCACAATAGTTGTCCTTTCAATCAGGTATAGCAAAATCTAACCAAATACAGAACATCATAGAACCTACCAAAACAGAGTATTGAATAGAACAATACAATTAATCAAAACAAAGCAAAACAATTATAACAATATTTGCCTTCAAAGAGATGGTAAAAGGAAGTCCCCCATATTTGCTATATTGCATGTGGTCATCCTCCCAAGAGATGCTCAGACCTGTGGCTCCCATTTGCTAAGAGGGGGGAGGGAAGGGATGTTTGATTCTCAGCCCACATGCCGGAAGGCTCACAACTGCGTACCAGGGAGGTGAGCAGGTTGCTTTGTTGTCCAGCTCCCTAAGTTCCAACACGGAGCTGATCTTGGGAGGTGTTGGCTGGCTGGTTCTCTTTCCTGGGTTGCCCGCCACTCACTTGAGCCATGGCTCCTTACCAGGGAGGTGAGTGGGTTTGTTCTTTTCAGTTTTGCTCACCAGTTGGTAACAACTCTTCCATGTTCTTTTCTCTCTTCTTT